CAAATATAATCAGTATTATTCAAATAGGAATTATAAAATTTCTAGTGAACTAAACTTTATGAAAAAAATATAAAATTTGAATCTGGTTTTGCTTATTCTATTCATATAAATTTTGGTTAAAAGTTACATGTAATATATAAAATCTCTCAAAATATCAGTTGAAGTTAGAAAACACAAAAGTAAGAATTCATTCAAATGAGAATTACAGAATTACTAGTGGACCAATTTTTATTAAAGATAATTCTGAAAATTTAGAATTTGGGGACTATAAATCGCATTTGATCATTTTATAGATGTATATGAATTCCAAAATTGGTATATTTAACTATGGAATTGCAACAAATTTTTAACTGCTATATGTATTATATGTTTTTCTATGATGAAAATTTGATTTTGAAAAGTTTCTACATTAATTGCTGGAAATATTCCAAAACGTCTGAATTTCCATCAAAAAAATCTACAATTTTAATTTCATCATTAGACATTAGCAATTGTTCTTTTAGTCAATAGACACCGTATTCGGGTTTTATGAGTAGATTATTTTGATATAATTTCGGTTAGCATCAAGTTTCTGTGTCTTAAAGAATACAGTGTAATCAAATTTATGTTAGCAGAATTTGTAGTTAATATTTAATATACCGTATTCTAGGTTTTAAAAAAAACTTTATTTAGAACATTTTAAACGTATATATATTTTGTACATACGCTCAGTATATGAATGTCTATTGTACTTTTTATAAATTTGAACGATAACGAAGAAATTTTGTTAATATTAAATAAATTATTTTTATTATTTTTGCAAAATTTGAAATACTTCGTCATCATCAACACTAAAAGTAATGCTTGAATTATCAGAACTTGTTCATATGAAGATTCTTGACAATAGTTACCATTAAGTGGACTGAATAATGCTAAATCACTTCCATATCCAAAGTATAGCCCAAGTGCTTTATCGTAATAAAATACTACTATATGCTTGTTTAATTTTACTTACAAATCCATCGAGTCAAATTAAAATAAAAAGCTATTTTACGTCCCATGATACTGTCCACCTCCCAGAGTACCATTTCAATGGATCATATCTACCAATTATTTTTTCTGAATCTTTAACCTTAATCACAGTTACTGTTGGGCCCACGTTCTCACAAAGTTGATGAAAATCAGCTGCAGTTAATCCATCTCGACTGCCTCGCAATAATAGCTTTAAAGCAAATGGTTTAGTTAATTTCGTATCTTGCGACTTTATCCATCCACTTATTTTATTGATTTTGTTTCGGTTAGTATGTGGAAGAAACGAATCAATGATAAACAATGTTTAAGCGCATGTCTCAATTGTCTAAATTCATTTTGTGTCCATTTCTCCACGGGACTCTAAATTCAATATTCTTAGAATTGAAAGGTTGAGCAATTTCCATTCAAGTACCTTCTCCCATATATCAATTTCTTAAAGATTCAAATCTTCCCGTTCGAGCAAAGAAACTAGCGCGTTTTCTTAAAGTTTAACAAAATCATTCGATTGGAAAATAGCGGCAGGATTTTGACATGCAATATCTGTGCAAAATTTGTGAAGTCTCTTAAAAGAGTCGTGTTCGAATGCGACTTGATCAAGAAAAAATTTCAGTCTTCGACTCGATATGATGCTCCAAAAGAAAATTCAAGCAATTCGTCAAGAATCAACTCATCTATAGCAATCAATAAGATTAAAAAGTGTCGGCACTCCATATTCTTTCAAGTCGATTTTGCCACAAACATATCATAAAATAAATTTTTATTTATACTGTATAAAGGTATACTTTATTGTCCTCAATAAGATTTCAAAAACACGCGGCGAAATATTTGGTTTCTTAAAAATAATCATTTTATTTGGTTTTCGTTTCACCCATGTATCAGAAAATGCGATGGTAAAATATTGGGATTGCACCATTAAAATAGACGAGTGTGCGGTAAAGGTCTGTAAATGTGAAGTTGAATCGTCATTTTTATAAGTGTACGAGATTTAGCTTATTTAGGAATTTAACATTTTTTATTTTATGGATCTTCTATAACAGGATAGAATTTTTTTACAATTTCATGAAATTTTCTTCTACGTCTATTATATTAGACTATTTATTAAGATCAATTATCTATTAAACACTTTTGAAGATAATTTTGCAGTTGATGTTTTCACTCAAAAGTATAAAATCCATTTTAATTAAATTAATCTCGTGCACATGTCTCTATTATTGCTGTATAAAATATTACATGAATAACTTAATTATGATATCTGCCATATAAAGTAAAAATCAAGTGTTATTCTAAATAATAAGCTTCTAACTCAAAATGCATATACGAAATCTACGTAAAGATAACGTTTAACGCATGAAAGTTCTATATTTAAAGTGTGACACTCTAACATTAATGGTAGTTTTTGCTCTTAAATGTTAAACCTATACCAATTGCATTACCATAAAAAAGCTTTGCAGTGTGTATCTTAACACAGAATTTGATTTATGCACATCATCACAAAAGTTAATTTACGCGCACAATTGTAAAACTCGTTTATCTTTAAAATATCCATGTACATTATATCGATATAGACGCAGAGCATAATCCTTAAATTTATATAAAGTAAACTTAAAGATGAAATTAATACACATATCTACAGTAAAAAAAAATCTAGATACAATGAATATCATAATCTAGCGGAAACGAGAATGTAGCAAATTTTTATTTGAAGTTACATTTATACTAGTAAAAGAGGGTTTTGTATAAGTTACAAACAAATCAACCGGATTATTACTTAAAAACAAGTTTCTATCGTTATGATCAGGAATACATGTAATATAAACGAGGTAAAAGCGTACACCATGTTTTTCTAGTTTTACAAAATAAACAGAAATGTTTTTGGAATACTGTATGTGACTAAAAAATGAAAGGTTCGTAGTGAGTTCATTTTCGGAAAATAGTTTTCGTAGAAAGACAGTTGATAATCCTTCGTGGGTTTCAAATCACCAATTTTATAATACAGTATTCCCCTAATATAATGAAGCTTCAGAGCCGGGAAATTTTGTTCATATATCAAAATTTCAAGACAATGAGATGTCCTCAATATAACGAATCTATGTATAAGTTTATAAAATATTCAGTTTATATATTATATCTCAATATAAAAAAATTTATATATTAGTTTATTATTAAAAACTGTCTAAGCAAACGCATAATAAATAGGAATATTACATGTATATTATAAAGTGTATAAGTTTATATTAAGAAGAAAAGTCAATTATAAGTTCACAAAAAAATAAAAAATTCATATTACTATATTTTAATACATAATCTATATTTTATTAATGTGTGAAAAGATGAGTTGTTAATTTTAAAAATATAAATGATTTTTATATTTAACATTAATACAAAACAATTACATAGTATATAGATAATTTACCTAAACATGTACAGAGACGTGACAAAAAATTAGAACGCACATAAAAATATTAGTAAAACATAGTAAATATTAAAACCATTTCTTTATATAAAATTTTTAATCATATTTTTTTTATATCAAAATAAAGACAAGAACCTATAGTTTAACATATAAGTTTTTTCAGAAAGTTTTTTTCTAATTACGAAGTGATTTTTTATAATTAAAAATGAAACTTGATTATAAAAGATCACTTCGCAATTAGAATGAAACTATCTGAAAATTTGAAACTTTATATATTAAGATATAGGTTCTTGTCTTTACTTTGATACAAAAAACAAAAATATTTATTAACATGATTATATAAAGAAATGATTTCAATATTTACATGTAATTTGATATACGGGATATATTGCAAATTACGAGACTGATAATCTCTAATCCTTGCTGTAAAGTATCCAGATATTTTATATTCCTTCATGAAATTTTTCAATAGGAGATACTATACATGGGAGTGGCACTATGATCCATGCTATATGGTATATATTTAAAAATAAAATTTTACACAGAATTGGGGCAATTTCTTAGGATATTTATAATAAATCAATCATAATATATTATTATAATTTTAGATATATATAAAAAATTAGCGTGTTCTATAAGATATCAAATATTAGCTGTCATATTTAGTAAACTATAAAAATCTTTTATAATTAAAAATGAAATTTGACTATAAAAGTTTTTTGTAATTATTTTGCAATTTGAAAATCTGAAATATTATATGTCAAAATATAGGCTAATAATTTTTATTTTGATAAAATAAAAATATTTATTAATAGCTTTATATAAAGATGTTTTACTAATAATTTTTTGTCATCTTTAATAATTATGATTGTCATTAAATCAATATATGATAATTTTAACTAGCGACAGATATAAAAAATAAATCAAGTAACGAAACAGCTTAAAAAGCTCAATAAAGCGCTATAAGTTTTTATAAACAACTAGTAACAACCTGTGACAGCCGATGAAAGGTATTGTGAATTCTGTAAAGTATTCAGAAATAAAAGGAATGGTAAGCAGACTGTAAAGTTTAATTTATTTTCTTATTTATTGCTTAAAATTATAACAAAACTTATAAGATATTTACAATTACTCTTTTGTAATGATGAAAAGTCTAGATTAATAAAAAATTATCAGCAATAAAGCTTTGCGTATTAATTTGTGTTTATTTTGAGTCAAAGTCATTTTAAATTACGTGTAGTATCAAAATTTGTTTATCATGACAAAAACCATGCGTATTGCACTTGTAATATTTTTTATAAACCTCATCCATTCCACATCTCATAAACAGGTGGAAATGTACCTAAAAATAGAAATACGTTACACAATTCATTAAAGTCGTAATTTATACGTTTTAAAGTACTTTTTCACGAGGCTTGTATAGCCTATCCATCCTATGAAAGGTGACGAGAAATTCTTTAAAACTTGAAGTTCTTGCTCAGCCACACAGGAATATTTAGTTAATCCACCTTAATCCAACAACTTATATTAGTATTAAGTATGTCTGAAAATAAACGTTGTGCAAACTGCCTTGCTACTCAATCTTCTAGATTCCGTTCATTAGGTAGAGAAAAATGGGAGGAGATCATGGCTTTTGGTCTAGCCAAGACAATATTGAAAGAAGGTATTGTTCTATGTCATAAATGTTATATGGATAAAGTTGTAAATCCATTAGAAAGACTGAAAAAAAGTAATAAGAAAGCAAAAAATATAGATGATTTAGAGGAAAAGGCAGATATATCTAACGAGACAGGTAAGTTTGACAAAAAAATTGAGCTCTCTGAAGCCATCAAGTTGATGGCAAAAATTCTTTATGAAAGAGAGCATGTAAAAAAGGAAAATATAATTTATACGTTTGAAGAATTGCGAGAATTATTAGTAAAAGATGAACCTAATCTTAAGTATTTTATCAAGCAACTTTATTTAGCAGCTAGGTCATCCACACGTACTAAACAAACAATGGATCATATGAAAAGAATAATGGTGTTCATTTGTTATTTACTTGCTTCTTTGAACAATACTAAAATTAATTTCTTTAAATTTGATATTGCGTTTTATTTAGATTCAGCAGGAATAACTAAAGAAGGCTTGAATACAATGGCAAATATTGGCGTTACTACAACATCACAGGCAGTAGGTCAACATAAGAGAAAAATATCAGACGCACATGAAAAATATGTAGAGAATGCTCTTTTTCAGTAATCAGAAAATGTACTCATGCTAAATGTTGACAACTATCATAATATCCATGTCCCACAGCAGTCTAACACTACAGATACTTCTAGAGCAACACATATGGCAACAATTTTAATAAACCCATGCTTAAGACCTGCAATATCATGTAATGGAATAGTTAATCCAAGATTCATAGATAGCTATTTGATTATGAAACATCTTGATGAACGATTTATTGTAAATCTTGATATTTCATATTACGATCGAATGTGAAGCAGAGAACAAGTATGTACTGATAAAGAAGTATTAGATAGACTAACAGTTCATAGCTATGATGATAGACTCGCAGAAAAAAAGAATGATTGATATATTCGCAACTCAATTCTTGTTAACTTTGTTAAAAAAGAATTAAAAAATATAGAAGAATATGTTGATGCTCTTCGAATTGTATATGATCAAGAGCCAATGCGAATATATCTTTCTAATTATGCAGTTCCTATTGTCGCGGATTGGCCTGGGCAATTTTTTATTTGTAAAGCCATTGCACAATGACTCCTTCTCAATAATGAAAGTATCCCTCAGTTTGTTATGTCATTTTTACCTATTTTGGGGCCTCTTCATGTGTCTTTAAATTCTCATGAGCTTGTTTACAAAAAAAATTATTTATTATTTAGTGACATCTACAAGAATGTATTCGGGACGAAGAAGAAACTCGGCCAGAAGTCACGACCATGGAGAATTAATTTAATTCTCCATATTGTGCGCTTGGCATGGTCCAATATTGCAGATACAGTTTATTCGAAATTTGGATTTATGTGTAAAAAAATAGAGCTCTTATATCTTACTGATTTATTTAGCAATTTAGTTCTCTTAGTTCTCGACGTTTATGCCGTACATCATTGGAGTGGAGATTGGCCATCATATGAGGAAGCATGCATGTGTTGTTGGAGTGATCTTTTTCTACGATTCAATCGAAGAAATTATAAGCGTGCTCCCTTAATGTTTTTTTCAGATGTTTTTTATTAGATGGAAACTGGACATCCAATGATAAATTTAATTACTAACCATCTTGCTTCTCTTAGTGATAGTCCCGTTAAAGTCGCCCATAGCATTATTCGAAGACGTACTATTAAATATCTTACGGCTGAGCAATTACAAAAAGAGGCGCATTTCATTTTCCAGCAACAACAGGATAATACCTTTCAACAAAATTTTGTACATTTCGTGAAGTATCCGTATACACCAAAACAGTTAGATATGCTTTCTCAAAAATGTTCCATATCACTTTTGGAAATATTTGCGAAAGTGTATCAGAATCATGATAAATATCCTGTCGTTAAATCCACAAGTGATGACGGTATCAATACATATGAACTACCTTCATTAGGCTATAAAATAACGGATCGTCACCTTCCAAGAGGTTTTGTTACTTCTAAAAAACCTAATGTGTCTTTTTTATGTGACTTATTATATTGCGATAGAACCTACGATTTGTCCAATAGCTCCGTTTTGGCGTGTGAACATGGTTATCATAATCATTGCTTACAAAAATCTCACTTTAAATGTTTTATTTGTTTAGATTATCTTCAAAGTGAATCAAAAAAAATGTCGATGCGCTAATAGTAAGTATGACTAATAATATTGTTGACGTTGGAATATTTGATGATAGAAATAAGGATGAAGATGAAGACGATTCGAGTGCTGCAGACGAAATAATAGGCAATGCAGTTGATGTAGAAGAGTTATTAAAATACGTAAAATTAACATTCTTGAATTTGTAAATAAATAAATATTCATAATTTTTAAATTGCGAATTATATTTTATCAGTTTTGTTCATCTTTGATTGTTCCTTCTCCATTTTTGTAATGGAGAGCAAGACTGCATTACGCGTTAAGGTGTCCTGATTTTGCTGCTTTCAAAAACCACTCAAATGCTTTTTGTTCATCTTTGATTGTTCCTTCTTCATTTTTGTAACAAAGAGCAAGGTTATATTGTGCGCTAAGGTGTTCTGCATTTATTATTTAACGTTAATTATGCGCTAAGATGTCCTGCATTTATTATTTAACGTTAATTATAATCGTATATATCTCTACTATCGCTATGTATAAATTATTTAATATGCGAGCTGTCGATTACACGTTAACTTGTGTAATCTTTGACGTTTCCCCTGTTCATCTCATATCGTTGCAATACATGTTACATTCACATGAATTTATGATTATGTGTAACAAACAAATGCACAGTACATATACATGTACATGTAATACATTATTTTTCTTAAGAAATTTGTATTCATCGTCATTGTCAAATATACAAACACATTCAGAGAAAACAAAAAATGACACCCGATTTGTTATTGACTTCACACTCAAATAGATTCGATAAATTCTATGAAAATTCGAATTATTATGACATTTCAATCATTGTTGGTGAAAACCAGAATTCTCAACGCACTTTTTCAGCTCATTCAGCAATTTTAGTGGCGCAGTCGCAATATTTTGCAACTGCGCTTTCTGGTGCTTGGGTGAAACGAGAACCGAACAAGACGATTATTTTTAAGAAACCGAATATTGAACCTCGAGTTTTTGAAATATTGTTAAGGTAATTTCATGATAAGAATAATGCGATATTATTAATAAGGAAAATTGTCTGATTAAACTCTTTAATAGATATATTTACAGCGGAAAAATCGATTTACAAGTTCATGGAGTTTCGACACTTTTGGATTTATTAATTGCAGCCGATGAATTAATTCTTGAGGATCTGATTGAATATATTCAAATTAAACTTCTCGAATATCATTCGAAATCTTTGACAGAGAGTTTCGCCTCGTTCAATCAAATGGCATTCGAACATAACTCTTTTACCAAGCTTCAGAAATTCTGCACAGACATCACATGTCAAAATCCAGCTGTTATTTTTCAATCAACCGATTTTACCAAGTTACATGCATCAGCTTTAGTTTGTTTACTCAAACGTGATGATCTAAATGTAAATGAAATCGATATTTGGGAAAAGGTACTTGAATGGGGAATCTCTCAGGCATCAGATACTAATGAAATGGATTTATCCATTCCATTAGAAAAATGGACACATGACGAATTCAAGAAGCTCAAATCTACGCTCGAAAATTATATACCATTGATTCGTTTCTTCCACATCAATTCGATCGATTTTTATAACAAAGTTATGCCCTATGCTGAGATTTTGCCAGGAACACTTTATAAAGATTTATTGCATCATTATTTGGTGCCAGGAAGTGAAAAACATAAGGTGAGCTTGCATCCAGTTCGCAACAAGATAACTACCGACACTTCGATTCTTTCGTCGAATCAATGCCATAAAATAATCGATTGGATTAAAGAAATAGATGACACTCAGAAAAACAAATCAATTGAATTGAAGTTGCTATTACGTGGTAGTCGAGATGGATTTGAGAGTACCAGTTTTCATCGCTTATGTGATAATAAAGGTCCAACTGTTGTTGTCATTCGCGTAAAAGATGAGGAAAAGATTATTGGTGGTTATAATCCGTTTAAATGGAATTCACTTGACACAAGCTACTCATCATTAAATAGCTTTTTATATAAATTTAATTCTGATGACATTCAAGCTACAAATGGAGTACTAAGCAAATATCAACACCAAGGACGGAGTGTAGGATGCTATGCAGTTAATGGCCCCATATTTGGAGCTACTGACTTATTTCTTTATGGTTATGATTTTAAAAGTTCTAAAAATTACTGTCAAAAAAGCTCCTACGATCATAGTCTGTTGAACTCTGCTGAAAGAAAATATTTTGGCATAGTAGATTATGAAGTATTTCAAGTGCTGATGAAATAAATTTTTATTTATTTTCATGATAAAGCTGAATTATAATAATATTTCTAATTAAAATTTATTTTTTATTAATTGCTCATTATTTAAATTTTACGTTGAATGGCATGGATTTAAAATTTTAGATTCTTTTTTTGTATTTGATCACAATATTTGATATTTTAAATTAAAAAAGTTCTTGAAAAATTATATTGATATTATTTTCTGAAAAGCAAATTATCTTATTCGCGAATAGAACCTGATATAATTTTATTTCTCATCAGTAAGGAATT